ACGCTAGCCCTGGGTACTTTGCTGCAACTCAGTATGGTTTCTGTGTTGCTGAAGTAACAGCGTGCTCTGGTGAGAGACCCACTCTCCACATCTCTTTAAAAAAAAAAAAAAAAGGTAACAAGAAAGCCTGCAAGGGGTCTCAGATGAAGCTATGTTAAGGAAAGCTATGAAAACTTTAAAATGCCTGTACGGGCATTTTGGGCACAGATAGAAGTGACACTCTTTGTCCAGTCTGGCCTCAGAAAGCAGTTTATAGTCAAGAATAAACACAAGTGCACAGCTGCAGACAGCTTAAAAAATGGCCCATTGCGTGAAAATCTGACCCCTTGTTGCATGTGGGGTCAGATGAAGATGTTTCAAAACAGAGTGTTTTCTGTAACTTCTGTCTGCGCTGCCTGGTTTCAACTTCTCTCTTGAGCTGGTTGACTTATAAACTGACTTGTAAACCATTTTGGCATGAGCTAGGGTCATGTCTTTATTCAAAGCTGTATCCTCCTCAGAATGAAATCCTAAACCAAGTTAAAAGAGGAATAAATTGAAATCAAATTATTCACAGGTTTTTTTGAGGTGCTCTGCTACTAACTGCTTACATGGTGCTATAACTAACGTGTGAAATACTGGGTGATCTTAACTGATGTAGGACTTGAATGTAACCTGTGTTTTGCTGCTTTGTTTTAGAGGTAAACATGCATAAAATTTATTAGCTCTTTTAGATCAATGCATGTAAATGTTGAAAAACTGGAGGATCATTGATTGTGTGCATAGGGATTAATGTGCCCATGCTCCTGCGGAAGCCAGTGGTGTTATAATAGTAACAAAAATCTTGTATACTAAGGATTTGGGGCTTCTTGAGAAGTTATATAGGAAAGGTCATATATATTGCAACCCTTTAATGTGGTTTTTTTTTTTTTTTTTTTCTTTCTTCCAATGCACAGAAAGGATTTGACTATTCCAAAAATGAACTGAAATCTCTATTTAGAGATAACAGACTGTTTTGTGTTAGATTTAAACTCCTTTTAGTGCTGCTTTTCAGCTCTGGACTTTTAACTGTGAACATGGGTTAGGTGTAGCTAGTTTAGCTTTGCTTTGTTATGGCTCTTTGAAAAGTGAATTGAAGCAGTTTGCCAAAGAGACAGGTGAAGAAGCAACTTTCAGTTCACTTAGTCCTCAAAATATCTTAACACTTGAAGTGGTCCTTTGTCCTTTCTCTGGCATCTTGCAGTTTTCTCTGTCTTCCGTTACCCCATGTAATCTCACCAGTGCTAGTGCAGGAACTGTCATTTTAGCAATTTCTGCTCTTTGGGACATTTTAAAGTGATTTCATCACCGCCCCCCTTAATTGTAGTTGTTTTGGGATACAATTAGTAAAATGAGGTTATTTATCTTAGGTTTATATTTACTGCCTCTAATTAAATGAAGGTCCATGTCTAATACTGTGATTGGTGATCTGAAACTTTTGTTCTGGAGCAGCTGAGAATCATTTAGAATAGTTTCTTCTTCCAAGAACTTGGGGATTAGTGCACAGTACTGGGCCAAACTTCTCCCAATCTTGCTGAGTTTCCTTTAGATTCCCTTTTGCATAGACTACAGCCTACCTGTTTCTGTCCCAGTGAACAACATGTAATGTGACAGTGTGGGCATATGACCTCAAACATGCTGCACTATTGTGCACGTGCACTTGCACTTTCCCTCACTCCCCCACCTAACATAAAGCAGTCTAGTATTTGTGTGTTGCTGCACCTGAGTTAAGTAGTAGTGCCTCTGAACATGAGAGCACTCCTGCGTGACACAGTAAGTTTACAATGTAGACATGCGCTGCATGTCTCGTCTCCCTAACTCTAAGGAATCAAAGCTTATTTTTTAGTCAAGGCTTCCTAAATATAATTTAAGAACTCTTCTTCATTTTGGTGAAAAGATATATGGTTAGGATTACGAAGGCTGAATTATTTGCAGTTGTCAGTTACATTTGCCATTTGTTGCTGCCATACGCAATGGTGGCATTTCTTTTTAAAGTTCATAACTGGTTCTTCTTACTTTTTGTTGTAGATATTTGCCTGGACTTTTGTTGCTTATGACTGACCTTTGTAATTATTTGCTAACTGGGTTCTGTCTGGGTGGCTGTTATGAAATTGCCTCTGAATATATTTTAAAAAAAAAAAGTCCTAGCCAAGTGATTTGGATAATCCTAAGAATTTTGTGTTTTACAGTTGCAGATTGGGGTCGGTCCCTCCATCTCTGAAGGGCATGTTGTGTAATGGGAAAATAACTTTAACCTGGGAAAAAAGTCTAAGGCCACGACCCCCATGCCCCTTCCCCTAGCTGATCTCTACCCCATTATGATTTTTATTTTTTTTTTTATTTCAGAGTTTTCTTGGTGGCTTTTTTGGTCCTGTTTGTGAAATTGATGTTATACTTAATGATGCAGAAACACGAAAAACAGCAGAAATCAAAACTGAAGATGGTAAAGTAGAAAAACATTATCTTTTCTACGATGGAGAATCTGTTTCAGGAAAGGTAACTTTTTGTTGTTGTTGGTTCTAATAATACTTGCATGTGGTATAGAACACAAACGCAAATCAGATAGTATACTTTGAGATTAGTTTGTCAGCAGGAGGTAAACTGGTCTGTAAGGCAGTTTGCTTCCGTCATTGTTACCCTTATGCAGAAATATTTATTTATTTATTTTTAGTTTGCTTGTGACTAATGTAAAATTTGGCACCTTAGCCAATAATGGGAAAACTGTATGAACCTTCATTCTCATTAATAACACAATGACATTCTCTAGCTTATTGCTTATTTTTCTTTAGCTTGAAGCAAAACCAAATCTAGTCTTGTCAGTTTAACTATGCTTCTTTTAAGAAGCAGGCTTTATTGTCTGTAGAAACCTAACAGAAGGGAAAAGCAAAGAAAGCATCATTAGTGATATTCTTTTTTAGGGTCCCATTGGGCAGCTTGTCTTGCATATCTTGAGGTTATAAACTGTTTGAGTCTTGAAGGAGTTTCCTGTAGCACATCAGAAGAGCAACCTGCATTCAGCGTAGCTGGCTGCTAGTTCAGGTGGAGGATTTTTTCTCACTGAGGGAGAAAAGGATGAGGAACTCCAGCTTCCTTCCAGTGAGGAACCATAGGACTCTATCCTTCAGCATCATATTGAGGACTGTCTCAACTTTTACTGTGGTCTTTTCTTAACAAAGCTTTCTCTGCCTGAATAAACTGTGAAATTCACTGAAGAAACTGAGCCATGTGACACATTCTTAGACTCTTTTCTAAATGGCTGTTTCACTGTCTCTTAGGCCTTACTGCTGTTAGGAAGCCCTGTTACTCTTCAGGTCTGCTTTCCATGCCATGACTTTTTTTTTTTTTTTTTTAAATCTAAAGTTTCTGTTCCCCTAGGATTTTTACAAAGACCTGAAATTTTTCTCTCAATGTGTGTCAAGCTCAGAGTTGGCCTTCTTCCTAAAAAGGGGAAAATAAATAACTGTAGTATTCATAAACCTGCTGACTTTGAGAGAAAAGGGAAGACTGTCTTCCTTGCTCAGCAGTTGCTGAGAAATGCCTGATGAGCTTTGGCTAAAGCAACTGCAGCTGGATCAAGAGTCTTAAGTTACATGAGAGGCTGGCAATCTTCTCTCTCTCCTCTTTGCCTTTCACTCTCAAGATTACAGCTTGCATAGTCTTACTGTCCCTGCCCTGAAAAATGTAACTTACCTGCCAAGGTCCAGGAGTTTCTGAGGTCATCATTGCTCAGTTAGGAAATACTACGTATATTTCTGATAGCCGGTGTTTCCAAGGAATAATTTTTAGTCCCAGGAAGATGAGGTACCTTAATTTTTACTCCTAAAGAAGATCACTAGGCTTTTTATTTAAAAACAAAATGCATAACCCCTTGTCTAAAACTTAATTTTCCATAACTTTTGCCTGGGTTTCTCTCAAGTTGACAGCCATCACTGGCTCTCTTCCCTGCTGGTGGAAATCTGTTTAGTAGGCGCAAACAAAGTAAATCTCAGAGCAGCATGTTTCAAGGGTTGATGTGGGTAGGAGGGGAACCTAAACTCAACTGGCCAGGGAAATCAAGTGCAAAGCTTCTGAAACTACAGGATTCGCATCTTAAAAGTGAGTATTTGTCAAAACATTGTTTGTTTTTTAGGGGCAACATGTTTTAAAATTGAACATTTTGTTTAAGTTCCTGACTGCTGTGCCAGATATCGTGAAGGAATCTGCTGCTTCCTGTGGGGAATTCTGGAGCTGATGCTCAGAGTAGAGAGGTTTTGGGTGTGAGAGACTTATTAGCTAGTTACAGGCTTGCCCTTGTGGTTCTCCATTTGTTTAAATTGGATCATTGAGCCCTCAAAGATATCTGTTAGGGCAATGTATTGGTTATGTGAAGGTTTCTGCAAGTGAGTTGAAACAGGAACTTAAAAGGTCAATAATCTTGTTCTGGAGACTTAGCAAGGAGTCAGTGAGTTTGGTTTTTTTTTGTCATTGCTGGAGTAGTTCAGCTGCCCTGTATATGGGATGCTTATAACATGGTCCTTCATGGGTTGTTTTATTGTATGATATGATAAGCTCCTGTCTAAAACGGCAAAGAAATTGTCTTGCAGTGTGGGAGGACAGTGATCCTTAGCTTACAGTTTAACTTTTATCTTAGCCCCTTCCATCAAGTGAGCAGGTATTTCAGGTTGTGTTAATGACATTGTATTACTGAATGGTTAAATTTTATAAAGCTATGACAGTCTGTGTTCTAATCTTGCTGTACAGTGGGGGGTGGGGGGCCTTTTTGAAGCCTTGCAGCATACACACTTGGAATTTGGGGTAGTTATGGTAGGTATAGGGGTTGCTTACACCTCTATCAATTAAGGATTAATTGAATAAGATGGAGCTCAAGGGGATGCTGCAGGGTGCTAGTTTCTCCATGTGAAATAGGAAAATGGACTACCATTAAGCCCTTGTAGAAGAGATAAGAGGAAATATAGTGTTTCTATTATGCGGTTCACCTCCTGGCCCTGCCCATGTTACTGTGGTGTAAATTGCCAGCAGTGGGAAAAGCTGATACAACTGGTGAATCCTTTCACAAAGCTCTTAGCTTCCTCTCCCTTTACTAGAGGGGCGAGACCCAGCTAGCATTGCAGGAGGCCATGCTTGCCCTGTGGCTTTGCGAGGAGGTCAGGAAAGAGTAAAGGGGTAGCACTTTAAGTGAGCAGATGCTGCATAATATGTATTTACCAGAAGTCTTGAAAGCTGCGGTCCCTCCTTGTCCTTCTCTCTCCCACCCACCCCCTTTTCTTTTTCCTGGAAAAAAAAAATGAAATGTAGTATGTGGCAGGATAGGAGTTGAGGCACTGTACTTCAGAGCAGGGGTTGTAAACTGGGGTATGTTAGAAGGCCTTAGGCAGGCAGGCGGGGATGGACTGCCGCCATGCACTATCCTTCGCTGCCACGCAGGCGCTACCCACCCAGCCGGATGGAGGGGGCAGGGGAAGCTTGCATGTGGTGGCTGCTGCTGCTCGGTGTCCACATGCCTGCCTGCCTCTCTCCCTCACTCACTCGTCGGAGGTACATTGCTTCATGTCTCGTCGTTGGGGGGTATACAGTGATTCAAAAAGGTTGAAAACCCCTGCTTCAGAGCATTAAGTACCCAAAACTTACATAAGTGTGCCCTTAAACCTTTTGTAGGGACTGACAGCTGTTCAGTATTGTCAGTTAAACAGTTGAATTTTAGTTTTGGGGGTGGGGTGGTTTGATATTTGTTTTGGGGTTTGTTATTTTTAAGTGAAATGAAACACTACCTTTCAGACTCCCATCAGTACTACTTAGTGTATGTATGTATTCATGCATGTTTATGCTAATGTGTTTTATTAGGGAGGAACTTTGTGTGAGATACTGAAGTTGATTTGGCTCCTCCACTGTGAGGCTCAGATGCCTTGGTAGACTTCTTGGTGGTTATTGTAGGTTGGGTTTTTTGTTTTTGTTTTTTGAAGGGGTGGGAAGCTGTTAAGACTTTAAATATTTGCCAATGAAATGAGTCTGGTACAAACATGCTGGGGGGGAAGGGGAAGGAGGAAGCTGATAGGGAGTAATGGCACAGTGCAGAAGTGGTATCCTATGAGAAGTCTAGAAAATTTTGCTGCTCCTCCTGAAAACAAGTGGCAATTGCTATTTGCAGTAAGGAGAGAAGAATCTCCAAGATCCTTTCACTAAATCTGGTTGTATCAGCATTCCTTAGCATGTTTTCCACTTCTCCGTGAACCTTCTGCTGCAGACCTCTTGATTTTTAACTTTATTTTTTTCTTCTTATATTTATATTCTAGACCCAAGCCTTTGAGGAAGCCATATATTAAAGTTGGATTGGGTTTAAATGTTTGTAGGACTTCAGGTGGTAGTAGTGGATGAGCCCATATCTAGCTGTACTTTCACGTTGCCAAATTCAACTTCTCTTCCTAGATGTTCCCAGTAGTAAGAACTCAATCATCATTGTAATAATTTGAGTAGCAATACTGGCTTGAAGAGCTGCCAACTTATGTGTGTCAGTGCTGTTTAAAATAATGACATTCTAGAGTTTTAAATACCCATATAATTTGTTTTGAGCAGTTAATAAAGATAATCTTTTGGCAGCTAACCTCTTCTAACATTATTTCTTGGTACTCTAGTCTACAGGATTGTACCAAGAAGAGTGAAAAGCCGGCCAGTTAGGTGACAGTTATTTTAAATGGAAAGCTTGGCCTGCCAGGAGTAAAGTACTATGTAAATTTCTACGTACATTTCTGATGCCATACTGGAGCATTACTGATTTGAAGATAATATTACTTCCGTCTGGACAGTCAAATATTTAATTTAAATCATGTTCTTTGAGTAGACACTATAAGGCAAGACAAGTTGCATCCTGTAGGGAACAAACTGATATGGAAAAGTCAGGGGATGGAGACATCCTCCTGGGCTTGACCAGATAACTGATAGTTGTCAAGATGGTGTGCTGCACTACAGGTAAAGCTTGGAAAACTTGAATAAACCTTTTTGGTCTTTGCAGGTGAACATGTGCTTTAAACAGCATGGGAAGAGGCTAGAACACCAAGGAATTAGAATTGAATTTGTAGGACAAATTGGTGAGTTTTTTACAATGGAGTATAGATGTGTAGATGTGACTTACAGAGCTTTTAAAATTCATGATTGTCAGTTGTGTTACTCAATCATCACAACTTCATCAGGTTAGTAAAACAAGTTCTGAAGGAATATATGTCCTGGTTACTTTTAATATACTGTTTATGCTTGTCAGAAATTGGAATAAAGGGGCTGCTATTCAATTCTTGCCCTTCAAAGCCTATCTTTTAAAAAGATGAGCAAGAAATAAGGGGTCTTTCCAGACTTCTCTAACTGAGAAGAAAGTGTAGCTGACACTTGATCAAACACTCTAAGTTCATTATTGCTTCACTGGGACTTTTACAGTCATCATTTACACCAGGGCTGCCCAATCCAGATTGTGGGTTCAGGCAGTGGAAGCTAAAGAAGGGAGGGGGAACCTGGAGATTGGCAGCAGTTGCAGGAGTATCATTTGGATTGAGGGCCACATGTTAACTTCTTGGAGCTGCATGTGGCTTGCGGGCCACATGTGATGGCTCTGATTTGCACACTCAAATTTAAGACCTGGAAAACAGGTATGTTTTTATACCACCAGTGGCACTAGTTTGGAGAAACAGGTCCATGAATTACTGTATCCTGCTTATTCCTTATCTGGCTTCTATTTAAAGCACTAAAACAAAATGCTAAGCTAGTGGTTCTCAACCATTTTAGAGGCACCCCTCTATAATTCTTGTGAATTGAGTGGCACCCCTTTTTAAAGAAAAAAAAAAACTTATTACAGTGCTTACCTCCTTGCAGGGGGAGTGGGGGGTGGGGCAGGGGAATGGCCGGGTGAGGACTGAGCCTGTGCTTTGCTGCTTATGTCCTTGCACCT